CCATTATTCTGCCTCAGGACTTCATGGAGCCTAGTAGATAAGAGTACTCAGTTTATTAATAAACATTAGAAAGGATTCTTTTCCTTCTTTTCATTTTACAGATATCAAATATTCAGGCCCCCTTTTCATCTAAGAAATGCACTGTTAAAATGACAGTATAGAGTGTACTAACACAAATGTAGATGGTATAGGTCACTTGTCATTACCTCTTGGTGCAGTCAACGTGGTAGACACAGCAAATATAAGGCTGCTGCCAGCAAACAAAACATACTGTTTTATAGCAAACTCTAAAATAACAATAAAATTATTCTCTAAAATAACAATAAAATTATAGTATAATTGATACTTTAACAATACGGATTAAACTACATAGATCTACTTACATGGAGGGGTGTGTGTGTGTGTTTTTCCTTGTGATCTGTGACAATTAGAAGAAGACACTGCATAGCCTAGAAATATATAAAAAAAATTAAGAAGAGTTTAACATACCAGGAATGCATAAAATATATGTGAATAGTCTTTATCATTTACCACCATAAAATATATAGAAATCTATTATAAAAAGTTAAGAATTACTAACACTAAATACTAATTACTAATACTAAACACTGTGCTATTCACAGGTGAGAAAAATGATTACAAATGTAAATAATGATGTATTAAACCAGACTGCATAAAACTAATTTATGTTAGACTTTTTCACTGCTGTTACAACCATCTGAGAAAAACAACTCAAGGGAGGAAAAACTTACTTTGACTCACAGTTGCAGAGATTTCAGTCTATAGTGGGAAGAGTGGAGCAGAGCAGAGAGCAGTTCATATCACAGTGGCCAGGAGAGAAAGAATGAATGAATCTCTGCATCTATGATATTATGACACCCACTTGCTAGGCAAGCACTGTACCTCCTGAGCCACATCCTCTGCCCTTTTTGCTTTAGTTATTTTTCAGCTAGGGTCTTGAATTTTTGCCTGACCTAGACTGCAGTCTTGCCATTTATACCTCCTACATAGCTAGGATGACAGGAGTGTGCCACCATGCCCATCTCATTGGTTGAAATGGATTCTCACTAACCCTTACCCCCAGGCTGGCCTCAAACTGCTATCCTCCCAATCTTTGCCTCCCAAATAGCTAGGATTATAGGTGTGAGGCACCCTTGCCTGGCATTTTTTCCTTTAATACTGAGGAATCCTCTATAAAGAGGATTAAAACAATTATAAAATTGTTTTTTCTTAATTTTTTCTTAATTCTGTTTATGAAAAATTTTGTCATTCCTTGTGATTTAAGTTGATTTTCTTCTGAAAATGTATCTATACACAATGGAATTTTATGCAGCCATGAAGAAGAACGAAATGTTATCACTCGCTGGTAAATGGACAGAATTGGGAGAACATCATTCTGAGTGAGGTTAGCCTGGCCCAAAAGACCAAAAATCGTATGTTCTCCCTCATATTCGGACATTAGATCAAGGGCAAACACAACAATGGGACTGGATTTTGAGCACATGATAAAAGCGAGAGCACACAAGGGAGGGGTGAGGATAGGTAAGACACCTAAAAAATTAGCTAGCATTTGTTGCCCTTAACACAGAGAAATTAAAGCAGATACCTTAAAGCAACTGAGGCCAATAGGAAAGGGGACAGGAACTAGAGAAAAGGTTAGATCAAGAAGAATTAACCTAGAAGGTAACACACACGCACAGGAAATTATTGTGAGTCAACTCCCTGTATAGCTATCCTTATCTCAACCAGCAAAAACACTTGTTCCTTCCTATTATTGCTTATACTCTCTCTTCAACAAAATTAGAAATAAGGGCAAAATAGTTTCTGCTGGGTATTGAGGGGGTGGGGGGGAGAGGGAGGGGGCGGAGTGGGTGGTAAGGGAGGGGGTGGGGGCAGGGGGGAGAAATGACCCAAGCATTGTATGCACATATGAATAATAATAAATAAATAAAATAAAAAATATTAACTAGCAAAAAAAAAGTTGATTTTCTTCTGTATGTTAGTGGTGTTTTGTCATTTTTGTGCTAGGTAATTGTAAGAGTGATTAGTGGATCAGATAGGGTCCGTCTGAGTACATGGCTGGCAGTGGTTCATATAGCAATGAAAAGAGCATTCTCTCTCTCTCTCTCTCTCTCTCTCTCTCTCTCTCTCTCTCTCACACACACACACACATACACACATACACATCATGTTCTTGGTCATTTGCGTGCTCTCCCTCCGCGCCCCCGCCCCCCCCCCCCAGTCCAGTAGCTGGAATTACAGGCATCTGCCACACATCTAATAAGAACTCTTAATGATTGAGGGGGGGTGGAGAGGGAGGGGGCGGAGTGGGTGGTAAGGGAGGGGGTGGGGGCAGGGGGGAGAAATGACCCAAGCCTTGTATGCACATATGAATAATAAAAGAAAAATTGAAAAAAAAAAAAAGAACTCTTAATGAATATAGTTATCCAACAGTGGAATGAAGTGTCAAAAATAGTGAGAAGAGCATGGTTGAACATTATTCGTTACCTGTAGAAGTTTATCCATACTTCTTGGGTTGAATGACACACGGAGAAAGCAATTAATTAGGGATTAATTACCTTGTATAACCTTGGAAAGAATATAATGCTTTTGCTTTTTTTGTGGCTCACTGATGTTCACTGTAGTGGTGATAAAGAGCTGCAGATACTGTAAGTCCTTTTGTTTACTGTTATTATCAGAAGTACCTTTGAACTAATAGTTCTCTCAATTTGCTAGTATCTGTGCTAGTTATCTTAGAAGATAGATTCCCAAGACTCAGGGCCATGGTTTCATTGTATCTGTTTTATATTTGTTTTCATTTCAAAGTAATCTTAATTGGCTATATTTGATATGTTGTTATTCTGTTAGTTTTCACAACCTGCTTTCTACCTTTTAGTTGGAAATAAAAATAGTAGAGATTGTGATTTAGGTTGAAGGGGGACCGCTGTCTCATTTTCCAGAGTTGTATGATTAAACCAGAGGCTAAAAATGAAGTTTGTAAAACACGAGTATAAGAGAACTATTGTAGGAAATGGGAAAACTGTTCTAGCCTTCCTGGAGAAAGACAAACACATGAAAACAAAAAGAAAAACAGAAGATTTAAGTAACTTATGACAAATAATTACATAGGAAGTACTACAGATGGTAGAATGCAGAAAAGAATTCAGGCGAGTGGCTTTTATTTCACAAGGGGCAGGGATCTGAGAATTCTGAGGGTAAGAAAATTAGAAACCAAAGCTCCATGAGAACAGGCATCATGTCTGTTCGCTATTGCCTCTGTCCCTTGTAGGTTCTCAGTTAATACATGTTGAATAAGTGAATGTATTCATTGAACAGACAGAAGAATATGTTGAAGAAAATACTTTATTTGGGGAAAGGTTTGAGAAAGTATTAGGAGGTAGAAAGCTATGGGATGAGCAGGAAAGTTGTGAGAAATAGGCCTGCTAAAGGGATATTGGGGTCAAATGATAAGCAACTTTAATGTTGCACTTAGGAATTGGGCCGGGGGTCCTTACACCCATCCCTTTCCTCCCAGGGCCTTGTGCTTGCTAGACAAGTGCTTTACCACTTGAGCCACACCTCCAGCCCCTTGGGAGCTTTTTTTTTTTTTTGTCTTTTTTAAAGTAGAGTAGCCTTTGAAGAAGTAGTGACATTGTAATGGTAGTGTTTTTAGGAATAGTCTGAAGAAAAACTGCAGGTTGTAATGAGGAGGAGAGTGGAGACCAGCTTTGAGATCAGTTGTGATTTTGGATAGGAGTCCTTTGGAAAGTAGTCCAGTCCAATAAAATAGCTTTAAAAATATGTGATACCTAATGTAAAAGGTACTTTTTAAAACCCTAGTTTGGACATAGTGACGTGGCTGTCTTTTACAGTATTTAGTTTTCCATGGCATTTTGTTATTGATCTTCATGGCTTTTCTATGAGATCCCGGTATAAATTTTGAATATATTTGTTCTTTCCTTATTTGCCTTTTGTTAATGTCAAAGACAGCACACAAGACATTCCCTGTTGCTATGGAACTGCTAGATTCAATATTTATTATTAATAAAACTGAGTGGCATTAATATCCAGTGAACAGAGGGAATTAAAATAAGCCTTTGCAATATGCAGTCAATAATATTTGTAAGGTTTAATGTATTATAGTAAGTATGAGCAGAAGAGAAATGACTTGTATCTAGTTACTATTCTGAGCAAAACTAGTTGTGATTAAATCTTTTCATTTATGACCAAATTTATTGGCGTTTGTGGCCTTTTGATCTTCTTTCCCTTTTCATTCACTCACTCATTTTTTGAGACACAGTCTCAATTCATAGCCCAGGCTCACCTGGAACTGTCCATTCTCTTGCCTCTACCTTCCTTGTCCTAAGATTACAGGTGTATACCACCACACCCAGGTAGTCTTTCTTCTGTACTGCTTTTTGATCCATGATTTGTTTTTCATTAGTGTCTATGGATTGCTATGTTCTTAAACAATTTTCTTACTTCAGATGCTATTCTTTATAATTTAAACTTTTTTTTTTTGATCTCCCAAAGTCTTTATTTACTTTTTCCTGTCCTGGTATTATTTTTTGCTATAGTTACATCTTTTCAAAAATTTATGCTTAGACGAGAGCACACAAGGGAGGGGTGAGGATAGGTAAGACACCTAAAAAACTAGCTAGCATTTGTTGCCCTTAACGCAGAGAAACTAAAGCAGATACCTTAAAAGCAACTGAGGCCAACAGGAAAAGGGGACCAGGAACTAGAGAAAAGGTTAGATCAAAAAGAATTAGCCTAGAAGGTAACACCCACGCACAGGAAATCGATGTGAGTCAATGCCCTGTATAGCTATCCTTATCTCAACCAGCAAAAACCCTTGTTCCTTCCTATTATTGCTTATACTCTCTCTACAACAAAATTAGAAATAAGGGCAAAATAGTTTCTGCTGGGTATTGAGGGGGGGGAGGGAGGGGGCGGAGTGGGTGGTAAGGGAGGGGGTGGGGGCAGGGGGTAGAAATGAACCAAGCCTTGTATGCACTTATGAATAATAAAAGAAAAATGAAAAAAAAATTTATGCTTAGAGCCAGGGATGGTGCCTCATGCTTGTTATCCCAGCACTTGGGAGGCTGAGGCAAGATGATCGTGATTCCAAGGCCTGCCTGAGCTGTGTGGCAAGTTTCAGGCCAGACTGGAAACTTGGTATAAAGAAACCCTGACCCCAAAAACAAAAGAAGAATTTATGTATGGCATGAAGATTTGGAATTTATTATGATTTTGTATAAACCCAGGCAAAAGAATATCAGATTTTCTCCTCAGGATAAGAGCTACCTCTAATCTCTTAGATGTATTTGCAGCATTGGAAACAGGTTATGGGATTTATTTTTTTAGACAGAAAGTAAGAGGGAAGGATGAAAGAACAGAAGAAAGGAAAAGAAAAGAATATTAGTTGTTACTGAGAATGGTCTCTAGGGCCAAAGGTAGACAGTATCCAGCAGTTCCTTCTCATTATTTTACCACTACCTCCTCATTTCAAAACTCTTACTCTAGCTCTTTCTCCTCTCTAATTTGAGGAAGAACAAGGGGCCATAGTGATTAAGTGGGAAATGTTTTAATTATACTAGGTAAATAATAAGCAGGCATAGGCACCTCCCATTTGTTTGAGTGGGTAGTTTGATCTTGCTAGAACAATTTCAATGGCAAGAAATGAGAGGTGAAAAACAGTTGCTTCTTAATAATAAATGAAAAATCTACAGTTTTTAAAAAAATAGCTTAGAATTATCAGCTCTAAATTACAGTGTGGATAACACAGACACTAAAGGCTACTTTATTGGAAATGATGGCTTAATATTAGGACAAAGAAATCCCTTAAATTACAATGTTGTTCTTACAGCCAGATAAACAAGTCAAGTAGTTTTTAACAATTAAAAAAGCCCACAAGTGATAGTAATGTGACAAACTTAGTTTTTAACACTGTTTATCTTTTAATAATTCTGATAGAATTTCTGTACACTTGAAAAGTAATACGTATACTGAGTGTAAAAGACGTTAATTCTTTCTAAAGCTCATGCTTAAAGTGCATATGCATTCACAGATCCCTCATATTAAGTATTTGAGCTCCTACTGTGAGGTCCATGACACAGTTTAGGAACTAATGCTGTAATCCACTATTCCTTGTATGTTGTATAAAGGTACAGTTCTAATTTGTTTCCTTGTTTTCCTCTTTACTCCCTCTCAAGAACTCATAAAATAAAAGATGTTTTAATTGTTTTTTATTAAATGAATCAGTAATATTGAGTATAATAGGTTAGAAAACCTTTATGCTTTTTAAAACTTTGTTTCATTTGCATTGGTAAACGGATATAATAGTTCTAAACTTTGTGCAGGTGTGAATTTTTTCTCATGTATTTTTCTGTATGTATTATTCCTGGGCTTTATCTTTACAAAGGATCCAACAGGTAGTTATTGTAGCAACGTCAAATAATTACAAAGGCCTTCTAAGATATTGTGGTGAGTTAGAGAAAGAAAGAAAGAGAGATCTTGAAGATACTCTTCAGGAAACTTTTAACTTAAAAAGTGTATGCACCTTAAATACCCGAATGAAGTTCTACTCCCAATTGAATGCCTTATCAGAGGTACTGCTAGCTTATTTTCTTCTTTTCCTTGTGTCTTGGCTGGTCTCCCACTCTATTCTACTTTGCTGGCTTAAAAAAAAAGGAAAAAGTGAAAAAGTGTACTCTTAATAGGTATTAAAAATACTGTTTAGATTACTCTAGAAAATTATGGAAATCATGAAGAAATTTAACTCTTCCTTGGGACAGGTGCCTTTTAAAAAGGAATTTGAAAGTTTATGTAAAAGTTTTGTAGAACATTAAGAGAACTGGTGAATTTCCATCCCTTCATTGATTTTTGTCTTGTTCTTGAATGTGCTTTGAATTTGTGTTGAGTGTTAATCATTAACAAAAATGCAAGTGCGGGGTTTAGATTTGTGAGTGACAGTCTTCCTCTCACACCTTCAGTAGTAATAGTCATCAGTAGCAACCGGGGATCCTTAACAACTGGATGAAAACACTATCATTTTCATACAACTGATTAATACCACTTCAGTGAATATTATTGTGATAATTGAATTTCTTTTCTTTCCTTTTTTTTTATGTTCTTTTAGGTTTTGAAAGTATTCTTGAAGGGCTGTTTGGACCTGCATTATTAAAAGATCTCAGTTTACTTAAAGGTATTCAGGATATTTTTGGTATTCTACAATCTTCTTGGTGGCTGATGTCTTGGTGACTTAAGCCACTATCTCTTTTTTATTCACAGTTTCATGAAAATTAAGGCTATATCCTTTTTTTGTGTTAATGACGCTAATGCATACATACATACATGCATACACATATATAATATATAGCATATATTAACTAGAAAGCAATTGGGAATTGAGGGAAGAATTTTGAGCTAAGAAATCTTTATTTCTTTTTAAGCTAAGAATTTTAAGACACAGGGGTGTGCAAGGTGTAGAGGTAGAGTGCTTATGTAGCATACACGAGGCCCTGGTTTCTATCCCCAGGAACTTCCTTCAACGCCCCCCAACCCACCCTGCCCTGCCGTTTTGTTATGTTTTGTTTGGCTTTACCACTGTAGCTGTGATTAAAAAACACACACTTTAATATGTGTGAGACTCTGGGTTTAATCTCAAGAACCACAAGATTTCTGATTTGCTTCCTGAAAAAAATTGTTTTATGAGTATTAATTCATTTTTCTTATTTTGCAGAGTGTAAACCTGAAAACATTTCTGATTGGACTTTTGATGAAAACTGTTTGTTCTGTTGCTTGAGAAGAGATAAAGTAAAGGTAACTAAGAAACTTGTGAAACTTTTGTCTAGTGTGGTATTCTAGTTTCCCTTTTTAAAATTTTAATCACTTTGTTGGTGGATTTGTAGGAAAAGGAAGTATGATTCCGTATTTATAAAGGGTTTATAGTTTAAACTGTTTCCATGTAGTTTTATGATTTGCTGTGGTTTATGCTTGAAAATGTTTTTTCATAATATCTGGACACAAATGCTGTTTATATTCAGTTGTAAAAATTAGCTGAATTTTTGGGTTTCTGTTTAATTTCTTTGTGTTAAACATAAGCAGAGGTAGAAGGGAGGGGGCGGGGGGAAAGGGAGAGAAATGACCCAAGCATTGTATGCACATATGAATAAAAGAAAAAAAAAAACTTAAGCAGAATTTTGACCTGGAAACATTTCCATTATTGAAAACTATTAATAATGGGTTACTGTCATATTTCTTTTCATGGTACCTGTGTTCATTGTTGTAAAGCAACAGAAACATTTTAATTTCTTCTATACATTTGAACTTCAAATCCTTAACAAGCTTCTGTTGGTTCCTCCCTCTAATGGATTATTCTTTTTTCGTTTCCACAGTGATGGCTGTAGTTCACACTCCTAGCATTGTTTCTGGACTACTGAAATAACATGATTGGTCTCTCTCAATTTTCCTTAGGCTTTTAATTTCCTTTTCTACATGGACACCCCTGAAATAGTGTTGAAAACCCTATACTTAATCTTCAGTGAATTTTTCATTGTCTTCAGAAGCCTAACTCTTGGTGCCTCAGTACCCTCCACAGTTCAGTCTTCCTCTCTCCTCTTCTTGGGGTTTTGAACTCAGAGCTACACACTTCTAGATTGGAGCTCTACTACTTGAGCCATACCCTCAAGCCCTTTTTTTGCTTTAAGTTGTTTTTCATACAGGGCACCGTCCTTGGACTGTGATCCTTCTATTTATGTATTCCTTGTAGCTGATTCACTGCCCTGACCTCCATCCACTTTTTTTTAAATGATCATTATTATTCTGTGCAGTTTCCTTACAACTATACTATAAATCTGAGTAGTTTAATCTAATCATTTATACTAAACTATGTTCTTTTACTAGTCTTTGGATCACACCCTTATTTACCTGTTCTCAGTAGCTTTAAAATCCCTTACTTTTACTCTTTACCCCATCTCTTCCTATAAATGGTGCACCTATGTACTTATTTCTGTTCTACCTTTCACATGTCTGTTAATATTATTTATTTATATCATTTATTAGTCAATTAATATTCTGCCTTATTTTGTTCCCCCTTTTCTGGAAATGTGTTCAGAAAATGTGTTGAATTTTGTGTTCCTGACATCTTCAGCTACTGAAGATTGAAGCATGCCTGATGATTCTTTGTCCCCCTGCATGTAGCCACTGTGTGATTGTTTACAGTTGTTGGAAAATTGCTTTACAACCTTAAATCCACCATGTAGCCAATTTATGAGCTGCTTTTTGCAACACTGGGGCTTGAACTCAGCCTACACACTGAGCCACTCCACCAGCCCTTTTTTGTGATGGTTTTTTTTAAGATAGGGTTTTGCAAATTATTTGCTCGGTAATTGCAATCTTCCTGATCTCTGCCTCCTGAGTAGCTAGGATTTCAGGTGTGAGCCACAGGTGCCTGCCTCAACTTTTTAATATTCTTTTGCGGCATCTTTTATGTGTATGCATGTATGTGTATGTTGGCAGATTGTAGTTATTTACTTAGCAGCAAGTCATTTAATGGAGGCTGTAGTAAAAGAAAGAACAATTGTCTTTTTTTTCAGTTAGGAATTGGAATACAACCATAGTATGCTTGATAATCGAGTATAATATATTTTTGTAATGTGATTGAGAATTTTCTGTTGATTTTGAAGGTAACTGTTGCATAAATATTTTAAGAGCGAATACCGAGAAAGTTACAAAACAATATAGCTTTTAAAATAGCTGGTTTTACTCTGGAGTTCTATAGTTTTTAGTTGCCTTTCTAACCAGGAAGAATATTTCCATTTGGCAGCTCAGTTCTGGAAAGCTGTTTTTCTTCATTAGACACTATTGTCTTTGTCTTTTGCATTTTTTATTTTCAGAGATGCCATATATCTGTTACAGAAAACAAAAAATGAAAGAGCCTAGATAATGTAAATTTCCAGGTATACATCTTTTGTTGGGATAAAGTGATTGTGTACTTGAACTTTTTGCAGACATTTGGAGCATCTCATCTGAGAAGGATTGGAATCTAGAAATTAAGTATCTCTATTAAGTTGATGCTTAAACTTGAAAAAAGATTAGGCAGTATTTGGGCAGTATGGTAATACTCAAGGCAACAGTGTATTGAGAGTGATACAAGAATCTTGAGTTTGAGGTTGGCATGATAGAATAGGTTATGTTTGGAAAAGCAGAAAAAATGGTTGATATTTGAGAAAGAAATGGACATTAATGCATATTTTTTAGTTAACTGAATTTTCACTGCTGCTGAGGCTGTTAGAATGGATAAAAGTAAGTACATTATTTATATTTGCTTTAAAAAATTATGAAGGTGAAAAATGAAAAGTAAACATTTCTTTAGGGAACAAGCACAGAGAGTCACCTAGAGTTTACAGTAGTTCCTCTTTCCTTTGTGGATACATTCTAACATCCCCAGAAGATACCTCGAAATCACTGATACATATCAAACCCTATATAAACACTATGCTTTTCCTATGTATACATGCCTATAATAAGTTTATAAATTAGGCACAGTTAAGAGATTAATTATAGTTATCAGAACATATTTTCTATTCATGCCTTCTACTCACAAATCTTGACTAAGCACTTACGCACTGTGGTTATAACTTTTTTAGTTTGATGTGCGACAGCAAAACTAGCACCAATTTCTTGTTCTTTACACTTTCACAGAAGATTTGTTTTTACCATAGATCTTAGCAATCTCAGCATGTAATTTGTTTTTCTTAATAAGTCATGAACTTACTAAGTTCACCTTTTGACTTAAAAAGAAGCACTTTATGGCTTTTCTTTGATATACTGGAATTGCCAGCATCACTAAAATTGTGATTTGGGGCCACCATTGAGTTAAAAAAAAGTGTAGTTGAACACAAGCACTATAATACCGTGACAATTCATCTGCCAAATAAGATGGCTACCAAGTTGACTAATAGGCAGATAGTGTCTACAGTGCGAATATGCTAGACAAAAGGATAATTCACATGCCAGGTAGACAACATGAGATTTCACAAGACTAGTCGTATAATACTGTACAATTTTTAATGTTATAAACTGTTTATTTCTGGAAATTTGTATTTTAATTTTTTTGGGCTCCAGTTAGCCATGGATAACTGAAATTGGAAAATAAAACTACTGCTAAAGGAGAACGCTATAGTAAAAACAATTGTCAAGCCATACAGTATCCTACAGAGGTTAGAAAATATAACTTACAGGTAAAAGCCATTTTTTGTCATCTAGTTTGTGCAAATTTTATGTGTTACCATTTAATCTTCAGAACAGCCATATAAAGTTTGGTTAATGGTATTCAGTTTTATAAATGAACAAATGGAAAATGTCAGAGAAATTAAGTTATGATCAAAGTCACATAATGGGGATTTTATCTGTTTTTAACATTCATGCAGCTTGATAGTAATGGTTGGAACAGGAACATGGGAAAAGTAAAGCAAGAATTAAGTAGGAGTTGAGGTTATTTAGTTGAAAAGGGAGAAATTAAGGGTAAGTAAGTCTCATCGTATTTGAAATGACCAATTTTAGCTGTGTTCGGAATCTATTACTGTATTTAACTCTCTGGCTTACTTGCTTGTATCTTTCCTTTCCTTTACTGTTTATTGGCAAAAATGTAAGCATATTTAATTGTTTATTTAATTTTATTTAATTTAATAAGTAACTAAGAAGGAGCCAGGAGGCTTCATATACTTAGAAGTTTACATAATATTAATGGCAATTTTGAGTGTTTATTTGTACCAAGTATATATTTGCAGTCATCTGTATAACCTACTCATCAGTCTTTTTAAGTTTTTCTTAAACTCCTTTTAAAAGTAATTTTAGAAGCTGGTTGACTGTAGTCCATACCTGTAATCATAGCTACTTGAAAAGCTGCGATTGAGAGGAACACAGTTCCAGGCCATCCAGGGCAACAAAGTTTGCAAGATCCCACCCCAACAGAAAAAAGCTGGGTGTGTGGCCTGCCTGCCTACTACTCTCAGCTGTGGTGGGAAGTGTAGAATAGGAAGATTGCAATCCAGGCTGGCCTGGGCTAAAAGTGAGACCCAGTCTCCAAAATAACCAGAACAAAAAGACCTAGAGGCATGGCTCAAACAGGAGAGTTCCTGCTTCACAATTACAAAGCCCTAACTTCGAACCCTCATGCCACCCTCTTCCCCCCAAAGAATTAGCTTTAAGTCAGCTGTAGTGGTACACCTTTGGAATCCCACACTCAGGAGGTGGAAGTGGAAGGATCACAAGTTTTGAGGCCAGCCTGTGCTGTTTTTAAAGAAAAAACCAAAAGTATAAAAACCAGGAAGTTAGCATTGTGCAGTACTATTATTTATTCTGCAAACTTTAAGATTCCAGCAGTTATCCTAGTTATGTCCTTTTTCTGGTCCAGGAGCCAATCTCGGATCACACTTTATATATATTGTCGTGACTCCTTTAGCTTGGTGTAGTCCTCAGTATTTCTTCACCTTTCATAATGTTGACACTTGTAAAGAATACTGGTGAGTTGATTTGTAGAATTTCCCTTAATTTAAGTTTGTCTGGTAATTCCTCATGATTGAATATAGGCTATGAATTTTTTGGTAGGAATTCCGTAGAACTGATGTATCATCCTTAGTGCAGCATCTCAGCAAGCACGTTACTTTTTTTTTTTTTTTTTTTTGATCATTTAGCTAAGGTGGTTATCTGTCAGGTTTTTTCCTCTAAGGTTTCCATTTCCCCCCTTATTACTTAATTGTTATCTTACAGAGAAGTACTGTGAAAGTTTTTAAATACTCTTTTTCTCAGCATATTGG